GGGCGAAAATTTCATCCGTTTTGCTCTATCTCTCACCGTTTGGGCGCTAGAGGGAGTTTCTCTCACAAAAGTGGCCCAAAAATAAATTTATTAATTTTCGAAAATATTGGATGGTCTCCTTAGGGGTAACTCGTCAAAGTAGAGCCCTTTGGGCGAAAATTCCGTCCGTTTTGCTCTATCTTACACGTTTACTCGCTAGAGGGTCTTTTTAGACGTAAATAAACTAAAGATTGCCATAGTAAACAATAAGATGTACAAAAAAGCCTAAAAACCGCAAAGTAGATAGGAAACTCCCCCCACCCCCAAAAAACGTTTTCTAAGCAGAAGGGTGGGTTTTAGTCGCGGTGCTTCACCGTTACATCCCTTTCTCGAGTCTTTTGAGCAAACTCAAAGATGACGGGTTTTAGCGGGCCGAAGGCCCGCTCCATTATTTGATTATGTTCTTTCGAAAACTGCGTAAATGAAACGGTCGGGCCGCAGGCCCGAGCGTCGCCGCCGGCAGGCCAAGCAGGCCCGGCCCCTGCCGAACGGAGTTGCCGGCGCAGCGAAGCGGAGCTGGCAACTCCGTTTGGCGGAAGGGCGGGCCTGCTTGTTCCTCTTGTAGTGCAGCAGCGGGTGCAGAAGCAGCGGGGCAGCTCCCTCGCGCGTTGCGCCGGTGACCTGGAGGTGAAAACGTCATGCTCCTGGCGCCACCACCGCCGCCCCTGCGTGCTCGCGGGCCGTAGGCGAGCGCGGCCTGGGCGAGCTGGGGAGCCGTGGCCAAAATATATCCGTGTCTAATTTATAAGCAGAGAACGGTGCGGCAAGGCTCTGGCGGCGCGGGCGGCCCGTCCCCGTGTGCGGGACGTACCGTAGTTTAGCTGTTACCGATGGCAAATCGATACGGGCGCGCATCGTGCCGCTGGCTTGAGCCCCCCCCCCCCTTTCCCCTCTTATTGGGGGACCGATTGCCTAGTATGTGTGGAGCCACACGTTCTGGCGAAACGTAAATGGAATTGGGGCACAGGGCACACCGTGCGCCCAACACCAGCTTCATCAACCATGGCCTCAAATCCCATGCTTTCGAAACATTTTGAAAACTGAGGATGTTAGATCGTGCAGCTAGCCCTACTACCCTAACCTCACCACTACCAAGCATTTAACAAAAATTGTCTTTCTCCATAAATGTTATATTAGTTTTAGATTTAAATTACATTTACCGTTTGAGAAAAAAATAGATAGCGGAAGTGCACGATGCTCTACGCAGACTGGTTTTCATCACCAGTTACAGCTCCGCAAACTCACTTCTATTCCTTTATCGTCATGAATTTGGTGCGCTCCGGAGAGCGGTGCGTTTCAAATCTTGGCGCGCTTTGCCAGGCGCGCCTCGCGGCAGCGCGCTGGTACCACCGACGGCCGCGCGGAGCGCCTCGGTCGACGTCACGTCAACATGGCCGCTCTGTTGTGCTCTGAATTGTTTTGATTACGAATTATATCTTCGCCGGCACGCTTTTCGTGTGATAACAGCCGTGAGAAGGTCGGAGATCGATTCTAGAGTGCCGTTCTCACCTGGTTTCTGTGATGTCACCACGGCGAGACGCCGGCGTGCTGTGAGACGTCTGTTTGAAAACTGCCAGCTAACCTCTGAGACTCTGCTTGCAAGGCACATTTACAGTGCTCTCCTTCACTCTTCCTAATATTTCAGTATTATACCAGTGTTTTTAATCGCCATGCAAGAAATTTGTAGGCCTGAAGTGCCAGTGAGAGCAGGGGCTGGGCCTACGACAGGCAGTATTGGTACTCAAAGCCACTCTGGCATTGCGCCAAATTGCGATTGTGCTTTCACATCAGTTCATCAGAACAATCTAGTCAACATGCCTCTCCGGATGCGCCATGGAGGTACCCTAGCACGGACTCTTTACCGCAAGACAATGGTTGACCATGAATTGCGGCAAATGGACAAGCGTACGGTAAGTGCCTTCTAAACTTTGTTTAACTAATTGAAGCCAGGTTTCTCGAGGTGTTTTATTTGCAACCTTTTGAATGAATTAATATCGATTTATTCTACACCTCACTGTAGATGAATTCTTCATTTATGTATCATTCCTGGCCTATTTATAACTTTATGGAATATTATGTAGCAAATTCTTTATAATTTAGTTCTGTTTCTCAGTAATTGAAAACAATTTCTCTGCTAAAAAGGGACATTACTGCAAAATCTTTATATTGGACTCCAGTAGATATTATTGTATTCTAGTTGTTACCCAATCTATGGCATAACATGTTCAGGGTGATAAAGAGCAAACCGTGTGCTGTATTATCCGTATTATACTGGATTGAGTACCCCCCTTGCACGGAAGATGTTTCTCTCTGTTTTACTCTCTGTTCTCAAATATTCTTTAGCAGCAGATAGCTGGTGAAGTAATCACTTGTAATTAATGAAGACATAATTTAACTTATAGGGGATTGGAACATACTTTTGCAGATTATTAGATTATGAAATGTAACTTTGTAAGTGGTTCATATACTCTGATTTTAAATCAAATATTAATTTGCAGACACATTCAATATGTTGAGTGCACTAATTGTTTCCACAATCTGGGCTATAAAATGAAAGTAAAATAACATACTATAGTAAAAAATTAGGGAAAAGTTGCATGTTTTTTGCAGTTTATTTGTGTACAAAGTGGGACTGTGTGACAGGATCATACTCTAATTTTAAATCAAATATCGATTGGGAGACACACTTGACATGTACACTAACTTTTTCTAGAAACTGGGCAAAACAATTAAAGTAAAATAACATAATAAAATTTAATGAATTTGCTAAGTCTATTTTGAAAATTAGATCTTGGCAAGAACTTATCTGAAGTCTGAAGGTTCTATTCTAATTAAGTTTTCTTCATTCGTCCAACGTCGAAGCTGGTTTGCCAGCCTGGGTGCCAGTCTGGCTGCCAGGCTGCATGGCACAGCGCTGTGCCATGTGGCTCCATGGCATTGGCATAGGGCGCCCGTCCGCCTCGCCTCCTCAGTAATGGCGAGCCATGTGATTCCTCGGAATCGAAATGAGAAAGTAAATTAGATAACCACGCGCCCAGTCCATTGCTGGACGTTGTGGATGATGTATTGGCAGCGGTCCCGGGGTTCAGCACCCCCCCCCCCCCATTTCCCCATATCTCTCATCTGAATAGGTACGGGCAACGTGTCCCCCCCACGTACCCGCTACTGTCTGAGGGCACATATTTTTGAGTAACCACTGAGTCGTTTTGCTTTTGAGTGTCGAAGGCCCAGGCACTGCCACCCAGAGCCCTTCTGGCCGGCCTGGGTCACAACCCTGCCGCGATGCTATCATGCAATGCTGCTCAGAGATGCAAAACGGGATGAAACCCAAGCTGCAATACTGACGAGGAAATTATCCGTTTGCGCTCAGTCTACTTCCCTAGAACGCCCCCGCGCCGGCCGGCGGCCGTGGACCTCCACTTGCAAAGCTCGATTTGGCCACCGCGGCCTATGAGTTTAGCGGGAGCCCAAAGAGGAGCGTAACTGGGCGGACTTTTAACGGCGGTTGCGGCCCCGCCGGGCACGTGCTGCAGGGCGGGCCGGGCCGGGCCGCCCAGGCAAATGAGGAACCAAATCATGCGCGGTGCCTAAGTGAAATGCCAGGGCAATGCCAGGCCAAAGGGGGGCCGCGTCCGAACAGGGGCGGGCGCGGGCAGGGGCGCTGCGGCCAGCGCAGCCAGCGCTGGGGGCCCCGACACACACCTCGGACGCACCGCGGGCTGCTGGATGTGCCTCGGCCTGTCGACTCGACGAGATCCGTGACTGGCGGGGCGGGGCGGGGCGGGGATATGGCAGCCGCAGTCATCGGGTCGAGCTGGGCTCCGGCCGGCCGCGAGCTGCTCAGGCCGGTAATTGGAATCCAATTCTAATCTATTACGCCTGATTATCGGAGCAGCGAGGGGAAGAAAATGACGAATTTCGCCGCTGAATGCTAATCAATATCAGACGTACAGAGATGGGAGATGGCATGGCTGGCTCTGGCCGGCTCGTGCTCTCTCCTTTTTGTTTTAGTGGCGGCCGAAGGCAGCGGTAGCCGAGCAGCGAGACGCATTTTAAATGATTGCGAGTAGAGGAGCAGTGAAGTGGAGGAGGAGGTGCTTGGCTGGCCGCCTCTGAGGCTGCGCCTCGGGTTAATCAGGACCACTGCAACAATATCTCCGCTACGGCGACCTGAGGGGGGAAATAACTTGCATAATAGTCCGTACCCGTACACCTGGTCGAATTATTACGCGTAATCACGCACTTTGTAACGAAAAGGCCGAAAAAGGTGAAATATGCACTAAAATTGTATTGAACATACCTACCCACACCCGCTGTGCCTCACTCTATGTTATGTGAGCAAAAAATCGACACCATTTGGTGTGAGGTATGTTTGTCTCATACCATTTATTGGTGTTAGGTATTTCGCCTTCACACCCATGTCTCGTGTCATGAGTTTGTAGAGAAGATGTAGCTCGCACCTGAACTTCTGCAGAATGTTTAAATTGACTCTCTGTAGAAATACAAAATAATACGTTGCTTTGTTGCTTATAATGTATCTCTACGTTCGTGCTACTGGTGATGGCGAGAGAGAGTGTTTCTTCGGACCACGAGAAAGGCGTGGGGGCGTGGGTTGGGCTGGGCTGAGAGAGGTGTGTATGAGATTGTGTAGGTGGATCTGGGGGAGGGGAAGGGGTACGGGGTGCTAGGAGAGGGCTGCTGCCTGGAGGGTGGAAGTGAGACGTGGATCAGGGGGGTGGAGCGGGGGGCTAGGCCGCCGCGTCCCGAGCGAGCGTCGCTCTAAAAGCCAAACGCCGTAGGGTTAATGGAGCGGAGCGCGCTGGGGTGAGAGAGTGAGCGGGAGAGAGAGGGAGAGTGCGCTGCGCGAGAGAGTCGTGGAGAGAGAAAGAGAGAAGGCTCAAGTCATATCGGCAGAGCGGGTCTCCTCTCCTGCGCTCGCTAACCTATTCCATCCCCTTCATTCCGACTCACCCCTCACAAGTAGGTCGCTTGGCGCCGCGCCCCACCTCACTCCGCCCCGCCCCGCCCCCGCCGTCCCTCGCGCCGTGAAGGGCTGGCGGGCACGCGGGCGGCACCACCTAACTCCCCGTGAATTGGATCCTTCTTCTTTATCAATACACAACATACATCCCCGTTTCGACTTGAGTCTTTCCGAATCGCGCGCATGTGCGTTGGTGTGCATGTGTGGGGCGCTGCGTGGGCGTGCCGTTGGCGATGCGACGCCCACAACCCTCAGACTGATTTTTCGAATCTCAATCGACGTGTGCTTTACTTTGCGCGTTTTCCAATCGGTTGCAATATTCTTGTAAAAAACAAAAACAAAGTTTGATTCTGTTTTTTATTGGGCTCGCCAGCCGCTAAGGCGATCAAACGAACGAAACGCGACAGGAAAAAAGCAGTTCTTCTCTTCTACCATTTTGCGACGCAGCACTGAGAACCTGGAGGAGATGTCTTTCTTTTCTTTTTCCACCATCTGCCGTACGTGATTCTCATTATCGGTAGTCTCTGCTGCGTTTTTCGTGACTTCTGTTCAAATTATTTTGGAAGAATAATCTTGAACCTCTTGGGGTTTTATTTTTGAAATAGTTGTAAACTGACAGTCGACACGGTGTTAAAAACAGATTTCGCATAACCAACAGCAGTTAAAACTCTACTTGTAAGGAACATTTTACGCCAGGGCTCAGTTGATGGCGTGCACTGCAAAATGCTTGCAAAGAATATGTTCGTATTGCAAACTATTTTATTTACAGCTTGCAAAGAATTTTCAAGCATTGTATTACGAACTAGTTCTTCGCAAGCTTGTAAACTATTTCTTTTCAATGCAAACACATTGTTTGCAAGGATTCTGACAGCTTGCAAAGAACTTCTTATTCTATGCAATACAAAGCTCGCAAATTCTTTGCTACGTTGCAAAGAATATTGTTTGGAAGCATTTTACAGTGTGAGTTGAAAAATGGTGCGTTAAAACAACAATGTTCAATGTTTTTTCGAATTTTCAGTTGCCTTATTGGAGAACAAGTAGTCTGATATGTTTATTCGAGCTTCATGTAATTTTACAGCTGGAGCTGTGAATTAAGGGCTGCGCCGTAAACAAAGATTGCAAGTCCAGTTGGCCAACAAAAATAGTATTCCACAAAAGGTCGTAAAACTACAGATTAAAAAAAAGTTAAATGAACTTTTTGGCTGATGTTAACATGCTCTGACTGAAGTCCAGTTCACAAACTTAGAGATAAATTTTAATGGACTTGTATATGTTTTGATGGACTTCGGCCTATCCTCGCTAAGTTGAATTCGATCGAACTCCAGTGTATAGCATGTAAGTACTCCTGGCTCGACTCGGCGCTCCCGTTCTCTGCGCTGCGCCGCTGGCTGACGCCACGACCCATGGCAGCCCATGGCACCGCACCCTCGCGCCACGCTCCGCCACGCCGGCAGCGATTCATTCATTCAGCCATTCATTCATTCATTGAGGAGGCCGTATGGTCAACTGATGACGGTGAGATGAGAAGGGGCTTGATGGGGCGGGGTACGGGCGTTCTGGGGCCGGAAATAACACATTTGTCCATTGACTAGCCGCGCCACGCCGTGCCCCCGCCGAGCCAGTTGTAGCGTGGCGCGGCGTGGCGGGCGGGAGGGGACCGGGACGGCCAGATGAGTGTGATACACGTCGGCTTATGAAAACGTCTCGGCCAATGAGGGGGGTCGCCCAGCCCTGTCCTGTGGGTGCCCTCATGTGCCTGGGTGGGTGTCCTCAAATCAGAAGTCAGTTTTTTCTTGTTTGGTTTTGTAATTGGTGTGGATTTTTGCACCGTTTAAATTTGACATATATAGAACAGAGGGGAACAGAGTGTGATTACCAATTCACACAAAATGTGCACTTTTTTCGCACTTTTATCTTTTTACAACAATACCAAACTCTAAGATTAAAAAATATCTAGCCTAAACTTGCGCCCCAAAACTGTTGACGAAACCGACAATATTTGGTTCCGCTAGTGAAACTTTGCCCGTGTACAGTAAATGATGAAGTTAATACTTAATTGGTTTATTGGCTGAGCGATTAGCGAAGCCTATTACTCCAGTGATGGTGAAAAAGTTTCGCGTCTGTCTGTCTGTCTGTCTGTCTGTCTGTCTGTACGCACGATAACTCGAAAACGGTTTGAGCTAGGAGACTCTAATTTTTATTGTAGCTTTGTAGCATAAAAAGGAAGACCTGTACTGATTTTGAGCCCTCTGGCTCAAAAATTAACGTGTCAAAAAATCATAAACAAAAAGCCCAAAACATTTCTTTAA